CATATAACATAAAGTTAACTATTTTGAAGTGAACCATTCAGGAGTATTTAGTGCCTTCACAATGTTGTGAGACCGTCTTCTCTATCTAGTTCCAAACACACTCATCACCCAAGAAGCCTATGCCCAGTGAGCGGTCACTCCTCATGTCCCTCTGTTCCCATTCCTGACAACTGCTGTCTGCTTCCTGTCTCTACAGATAGATTTACTTATTCCAGTTATTTTGTATAAATGGAATCATACAAGATTGATCTTTTGAGTCTTTCAGCATGTTTTTGAGGTTCGTCTGCATTTAGCGTGTATCAATACTTCATTCTTTTTTATAGCTGAATAATATTCCGCTGTGCATACATACACAATGTGTGTATCAGTTCATTGATGGACATAGGGTTATTTCTGTCTTTCAGCTATTATGTGTAGTGCTGCTATGAACATGTATGTAGAAGTATTTGTTTGAGTCCTTGTTTTTCATTCTTCTGGGTCTATACTGTACTTAGGAGTAGAATTGCTGGTCATATGGTAATTCTATGTTTAACTTTTGAGGAACTGCCAAACTGTTTTCCTTCATCAATTTTAATAGAGTTACTTGCAAATCAAAGTTTGCTTACTAAGCCAGCAAAAAGAAATATCTTCCACCGCTATCAAGGGTATCATGAAACACTCACATTCCAGTTCTGCTGGTGGCATTATAAATTTTTATAACACTTTTCAGTGTGGCAAAAATGTTTTAAGAGCTTTAAAGACTTTCAAAACCTTTTCACCCTTTAATTCCACTTTTAGAAATGTTAGAAACAATTTCACAGGAAAAGTAAAAATTAATTAAATGTTCATATGTATGCTAATAAAAACTAGAAACTACTTAAAATTTAATTGTTAAAAAGATAAATTAGGGGTTCGGATCCCATATAGAGACCGGTCCGCTCACTGGTTGAGCACGGTGCGGGCGCGACACCGAGGGTTGCAATCCCGTTACCAGTCACGGAAAAAGACAAAATGGGAAAAAAAAAAAAAAAAAAAGATAAATTAGAATATATATAAAGTATGAAGACTTTGTAGAAATAGAAATCTTTGATATGTTTAGTGATAATAGCATAATACAGAACGTAAATTATATGAGTAGAGACCAGAAAGTAATATACAAAATTTAAAATAGTTGTGTTAGATGGTAAGATGCTTAAGAAATTGCTTACTTGGTGTTAATATTCCTACATTATAAGATGAAAATTTTAAAAATCATATAGTAATGTGTTTTGTATTGAAATTCTCTATGCAACCTCCCCAGCCTTTCTTCTCCATCATGCTGATTGATGGCCACGTTGAAGTTCATGTCAATTCTGGGGATGAAACCAGCCTGAGAAAAGCTCTCCTGCACACTCCCACAGGCACTTACGGTGATAGACGAGAGCATTCCATTTCCTTGGTTAGGAATCGGAGGTACCACATGCACTGCAAGGCTCTTGTGTAATGAGGGTGTTGTGACCTTGTGAAAGTCTCTGCTCGGTTCAGTTAAATGATTGGGATAATTAGTGTGACCTCATTAGTATTCAGATTTTACAGTTTCAAAAAAATTCCAGAACCTTGCTAGAATACCTTTTTGGGAATCACTATAATCTTCTTTGTAATAAAATGTTTGTGGAATTTTCATAATTGAACAACCTTAATCCTGCCCTTTACTGGGGCCCAATGAAAATTGTCTTTACCTTGGATTAATTCTGTGGCAAATAGTATTAGAGTTTTAGTGAATAGTATTGTATCAACATTCCTGTATATTTCCTCTAAAACTGTAGAACAAATGTTAAAGGCACTCGACATTTTTATCATAGGTACAGAGGTAATAGAAAAATATTTTCCAAAAAGCAACCGAATTTAATGATACTTAATAACCCTCCAATAAGTGAAAACATGTGGTATTTCTTTTTC